ATCTTAGTCAAAAAAAAGGCTTAAAATAAAAAGTTATTGAGTATTAAAAAGAAAAAGCCAATCCAGTTAAAAATATATATTTTTTTAAGAGAAAAAACATCTTGCCAATTCCACTAAAAAGGGAAAGTTGAAAAGAAAAAAAAAATTTCCCCCCTTTTTTTATAAGGCTCGATCTCGCCGCTTAATCCACTTTTCTTCACTTTTAAAAATCTCTTTAAGTTACTTAAGGTGTTCTCTAAGAATAGTTAAATAGTAAAAGTCCATCTCACCCAGTTGACACCCTTCTCTTCCTTCTTCCTTTGGAGCTGCCCCGGCTTTCGCAGCCATTTTGGCTGGCTCTCCTCCACCGGCTTCAAAAGCTTCTCCCCGGATCAATCTGGGACTTGCGGCGTCCCTGAAATCCGCGGGACGTGCCCTTTGTGATCGCCATCTCTACGGGACGGCTTAGGTCCATCGGGACCGTCCGGGCGAGGAGATATCGGCTGCCATCCTGGGAGCCGAGGATCGCCCGCTGTATCGCCACGACGCCAGCTCCGCCCTCCTCCTCCTTTAGAATAATTGATAGTCCATAATTCATCTGGTATTTCCTGTCACAGAACTGAAAGATTTTGTTTACTGTACTATAAGCGTAAGTTGTTTTTACATAAGTTGTTTATAAGTTTGTTTATAAACAAAACTGATATTGGAGTAATTTTGTTCCGTCGACAAAGATGAAGTCTGTTAATAACAAATTTTCCATGTCCCATGCTTACAGAGTCGTGGTGGTATCTAACTATACACAGACGTTGAATATATTACAAGAAGTGTGCAAACATTGTGGATATTCCTATACTAGACTTGATGGCAGCACCCCTGTCTCCCAGAGGCAACAGATTGTCGATAGCTTCAATAGTAAATTTTGCCCAGCCTTTATCTTTCTGTTAAGTTCAAAGGCTGGTGGTGTAGGTTTGAACCTTGTCGGAGCATCTCATTTAATCCTGTATGATATTGACTGGAATCCAGCAACTGATATTCAGGTTTGTTACGTTCTTTACTATTGGGACCGCAAGACTATTAGCATCAGTCATAATCAACTGAAGTCCTTTTAATGATGTAAACCTATTTAGATAGATGAATATATTTATTAAAGGCCAATGTGAGTGAAATTGCTATTTCTATGGCAAGGGTTGACTTCTTAGAAGAAATTGAATCAGTCAGGCTTTTGTTTATCAAGAGTAATTTTAGGAAGAAGTAGCAGCACAGGAGGAAACTTTGGCTATGAGAAAACAAGAACTATAATCGCTTTATGCAGATCTTTTAATAATGTAAAACACTTAAACATTCCTCTTCCATTCCATCTTTGAATCACACTTTGAACCAAGCCATTTATACAATTGTTAACTTCATGGGATATTGTTAGTTTATTATGCATTGTCTTCACTAATAGAATTTAAGGGGAAAAAATTACTTTGGCTACTTTGGCTTGGGCATATCTACTGGGATTTTTAATTTCCCCCTTCATCTATATGAGAAATTTTTTTTTTTTGTCTGCGCTCAGTCATTGCTGACCCTGCAGTGACTGCTTGGACGTGTCCTTGCAGTTTTCAAGGCATTTGTTTTTCCGGAATTGGTTTGCCGGAGCCTCCTTCCTAGAGCAGAGTCCAGCTGGCGAGCGTAGGAGGCGGGGTTTCCGTTGCTTCGCGCCCTTTTTGGGCGCGCACGGTTTTTTGCGCTTACCGGCAACTGCTCCCAACTCCTTTTTGCAAGGTGCCGCCAGCATT